GCCCACAGGGCTCTGGGAGCCCCACGCCTGTGCCCCTGCTTTCCCCTTGCTCTGATCCGGTTCTTTGCATGTGTCAGGCATTTGTGAGGCCCTCTCCTGCCTGTGTTCTCTCTTGTGGGTTTATACCACTCTATGAAAGATCATGTGAATGCAGCGAGTGGGGGTCACCCGTGTGGCCAGTCACTCCCCTTGAGCAGGAATCTTGAAGTCTGTTGCATTCCCTCCACCTGCCTGCTTTCCTGTAGCCTTGGTAATTGCCCACGGTCAATGGGATGAGGTGCATTACGCAGCGCCTCTGAATTGCAGTGTGGGTGGGTGGCTCCGGCCCTGTGGCCTTGGGCTGCCAGCACACCTGGGCAAGGCCCGGCAGAGCTGTGTGGTAGCAGAGACCCTGACTTGAGGCTCCTCATGGGGGCAGTGTGCCACCGGCACCGTCTGCCTGGCTGGCTCCAGGGAGGGCCCGCAGTGGAGCAGTGGGGACCGTACTGGGAGCATGCTCCGGGTGCACTGTAGCCGACTGGCACTTGGAAGTTGTGCGTAGCGAGGTGAGTGCCGTCTGCCACAGCCTTGCTAGCAGAGCGGCCCAGCAGCACCGCTTGCGTGTTGGTGAGAAGCAGACTTGAGGCCCCACCCAGATTCTGATGCAGAATCAGGCTCTGTAGCTCGGTCAGCTTTTAGTTTTCAGGTGATTTTAGACTTAACAGAAAAGATGCAAAAGAATATTTCCGTGAGCCTCCCTGTTCTCTTCATCTGCTTCCCCTAACGCTGACGTCTTACCTAACCAGCCATCCATGTCAACACCAGAAAGCTCAGGTCCACACAGCGTTACTGCCTTGATGACAGACCTTCCTCGAACCTCGGTTTCCCACCAGTGTCCTCTGGCTGTTTCCAGATCCCACCCCGGACCCTAACTAACGCTAACCCTGCGTGTGTGTGGCCGCCACACCTCCTCAGTGTCCTTCTGTCTGTAATATTTGCATAGTCCCAAAGTATCTCTCCCAAGATCTTTATACATCACAAAGGGAAAAATACAACAGTAGCCTCTCAGTGGAGAAACCCACAGCTACCGCGTGAAGCAAGCCACCAGCCAGAAGGTGTGACACCAAGGCCCAGTGAGACATGCCACCGCTCTAGTAGCATTGCCAGAAGTGCAGGATCCTTGTGAGAAAATGTTGCACCCAAACTGAGGGGTGCTCACCAGGATACTGGCCAGCGCTTTTCAAAAGTGTCCAGTCGTGAGAAAATTTACACAAACTGAGGGATGCTCCCCAAACCCTGGCCCGTGCTGCTCCGAAGTGTCCGGGCCTTGAAAGATGGGGGACTCAGAATTTGATGCAGTGGGGTGACCAGGTGAAGTGTGCGCCCTGGTGCACGCGGAAGGGCTTCGCCCAGCCGTGACGGAGGTGAGGATGTGGGGGGTTGGGGTGCAGGCGCAGGTGCTGGGCGGTGTACCCTACTGGGCTTTCAGACCCTCAGGCTTGCGAGTGTCAGGGTCTGTGGTTATCTTCATCGAATCTGTACAGATCCCCACGACTTCAGTTACACGATGAAGTGAATTATGTGACATGATGTTGCAAGGCTGACCTTAAAATGTCTGTGTAACTCGTGGTACCAGTTTAGCCACTTAAATCCAGAGAGAACTAACATTTCCTCGTTTTGAAGAAGAGACTTCTGGGGGAACGTAAACTTGAGGGTCTCAGTGAGAAAGCCCCCCCTGTACTGAGGTAGACACGCGTCTGGGTTTTCGCACGGATGGTGGAGGTGAAAACGTGACGTCATGACTTGGTCAGCAGACGTGCCCTGAACCATCCGGAAGTTTGGCGGCTGTGGGAAGGAGTTTCGGGAAGTTGAGGACACCATTGGGTGGAACCACGCTGTTGCCATTTGCTTTGAAAAAACATTTGTTTTGTGTGTGAGCTGCGCCTGGGGCCCCTGAGCCCCTGCAGGAGAGTGGGCTGAGCAATTGGGAGGCGGCCTTCCCAGCCTGCAGAGCCTCGCCCAGCTTTCCGTGTCGGCCCTGTGCAGCCAGTGGGCTCGCCTGGGACTCCCCCGTCTGTTGTACAAGACTCCACTCTGCCTGCTGCTGTGGAGGAGAGGATGGCTCCATCCTCGGGGAGGAGAAAACCCTCCCCCACCCTCTGTCTGGAGCTCCATGCACAGGATGCAGTGCGTCCCAGAAGCCCCTGTCAGGGTGCCATGACTCTCAGAGAGATTAGCACCCCAGGGCCTCTATGGCCGGAGCCTGGGAGTGTTCTTTGGTTAAAATGTGTGGGAAGTGTTAACTCCTGAGCTGCCAGCAGATGGTGCGCTGAGATACTGTGCAGGCACATGAACTTGATTCTTGTTGTGAGTGAACCGTCTGCACCTTTCACGTCCATGAGTAGTCAGGAGCCATCCGATTGGATTAAAGGTTTTGGACCGTCAGCTTCCATGGCAGAGTGGATACCAGGACTCGCTGCTTCCCCGAGGAGTGTCTCTGGGAAAGGGGTCGGTGGAGGTGGAGGATGGCACGGTGCCCCAGGTGGAACCCCAGGTGTCCAGCTTACAGCACGGGAGCTGTGGGAGGAGGAGTCCCGTGGAGGCGGCCAAGAAGGTGGCAGGCTGAGAGCAGGCTGCACTTATACCTGAGGTCAGTGGGCAGGAGGGGCGGGTGTGGGTGTCGGCTGCGGTCCCCTCCGCTCTGCCCGGCTGTGTTCACCTTCTGTCGTAGTTGAGCCTAGATCCTCTGTGGCAGCCTAGCCGGGTGGGCTGGCGTGGAGGCCTGTCAGGAGGCCTGGATGGTTCTGAGCCAAGCCCACAGAGCAGGGCCTGCATGGACACACCTTCAGTAGCAGCCGTTTCCCTTCCGTGTCTCAGAGCACGCAGTCGTGGCCCGGAGGGACTCTCCTTTTCCCTAGAGATGGAAGGTCATCAGATACCTTGAAGGAAAGCTTAATCTTCCCGAAACTAGACGCACGTTTGGATGGAACGAGGAGGGCGAGTTTGGTGTGTGTGCGGTTGGCCTTTCCTCACAGGTGTGAACGGGCTTCCCGTGAATGTGGCAGACCCTTCACCTTACCAGGGCCATGGTCTCTGCTGCTGCCGTGGCACGCTGCAAGCTCGGTGGGCGGTAGGTAGCTCGGAGTACCACGACTGCCAGCCTGCGTTTTGTGCCAGGATGCTTCCCCAAGATTCGGGAAGTTCACACTACGTGTTTGTCGACTGAGTCTGACGGAGAGGCTGGGCGCCCTGTTTACCCGCCATCAGTTGTGGCTGTCAGTGCGCGGACACAGTTTGCAATCATTGGTCTGCTGTCTTGTCATTTTCGGTTATCCCCTTTGTTGTGTGGGTCACGTTAGGTGGTGGGCGTCGGTCATTTCTGCCCGGCGCCTTCGTGTTCTTGAATTCTCGAGTCTTTAGAAACTGGCACTGGTCTTACTTCGAGTGCCTTATTTTTCACAATTTGGCTGTGAACCCAAATCAGCTGAGTGGGGCGTGGCCAGCATTAAGAATGCTGGATACAAAGGAGCGCCTTGGGTAAGCAGGAGGTGCCCCGGAGTGGCTGAGGGCAGGCGTCGGCTCCTGAAGCTTTGGTGATTCAGGCGAGGGTATGAGCGGCTTCTTGGAGGCCCCAGTCCAGAGGAGTGGAAACCACTCTTCTGTGATGTGTGTCTACTGGCTGATGGTTACATTTGGGTAACTCTGGATGTAGTGTATAAAGATCATTTTTTAAAGACCATTCACCGGGCCAGGCATGGTGGCTCATGCCTCTAATTGCGGTGCTTTGGAAGGTTGAAGCTGGAGGATCATTTGAGCCCAGGAATTGGAGGCTGCAGGGCTGCAGTGAGCCATGATTGCACCACGGCACTCCAGCCTGGGCAGCAGAGCGAGACCCTGTCTCAGGAAAAAACAAAAAAACCTTCCCCTTAAGCCACTTGTTTAGGGGTTGCTATAGTTTAACATGTAGTCTCTGATCCAAGTTGTTTATAATTTCTGTGGAGGTGAGACTAATAACCTCGTGGTGGAAAACACCCCAGCTAGCTCGGGGGCACAGACTCGCGGCCACGCCTGTTTGCAAAGAGACAGGCCCAGAATGATTGCAGGCTTCGGCGTCTGTCCGTTGCAGAGAGAGAGAATTCTCAAGGGGGCGGGAGTGAGGAGAGCAGAGGCTCCTGGGAGGGGCCTCAGCATGATGTTAACACACCGGGGCCTGGATGGTGGCACCATGCATGCCCACAATGGTGGAGATCTTCGTGGAGTTCACTGATGGATCCCAAAGGCCCAGGATGGGATGGCATGCTTTTCTGCAAAGAGTCAGAAAGAACGTTAAGTGTTTTTGGCTGCGTGGGCGTCACTGAAGCCACTGGACTCTGCCATTGTATTGATAAGCAGGCATCTTATTTGTGGGCACTGATAATCGAGGTGTATGTAATTTTCTCACGAAGTATATATATATTTATACACATATATGTATTTTTGTTATTTCTCTGTTTAAAAACGTAGAACCCATTCCTGGCTCACAGGCTGCGTAGAGGCGGGTAGAGACCTGGACTGGGCCGTGCGCCCTCGCGTGCCACCCCCTGACCCAGAGTGTGTTTGCCTCGGGAAGGAATAAGACAAGGTTGTGTAGTGAGGCAGTGGCTGGACGGGGAGAGGCCTGGGCTGTGCACAGAGGAGCGGAGGCGTGAGCCTGTCCTCAAGGGAGGCGGTTCACCAAGCTGTCTGTGGAGGAGGCCCACGGAGGAGCAGTGCTGCTCGGCCGCAGGAGGGCTTGGTGGGCATGGGCTTCCTGCTGCAGCCCGTGTGGTTTTGGGAGGGACACATGGAGTGCCGGGGGACGAAGGGGATGGCCAGGTCAGAGTGTGTGTGGCAGGGGGTGATGCTGCCCTTCAGAGTGATGGTCGCCAGGGGACTCGGTAAGAGGCCAGGTCCTGGGTGAGGGGGTGTGTAAAGTGAAAGCAGGGTGATGACAGTGGGGCTGCAGGGAGGCGGGCTGGTGGGAGGTGGGCTGGTGGGAGGCGGACTCCTGGTGGTTCTTGGGGAGAAGGGTAACAGGGAAGTGAGGTGGGTTCAGCTGTGGAAGTGCTGGGATGGCTGTTCCAAGTGACCATGATCTAGACGGGTTGAAACCCTGGACTGAAGAAAGTGCCAGTGAGAGGCCAAGGCAGGAGGTGGAGACCTGTGGGTGACAGGTGTTCCCTGCACCTCCTACCCCTGCCCCTGGGAGATGGTCCCCAGGGGCACCTTCACTGGGGGCCGGCCCTCATACACACCCCTGCCTACCTTCTGGGGGCTTCTGGAGCAGAGAAGGGGCCTCGAGACCACGAGGAAGGCCATAGGAAGGGGAGATGCAAAACGGTGGCCGAACGCAGGTGCCGAAGCAGCCAGGAGATGGTGCCGGGGCTTTCGTCTGGCACCTGGGGTGAGTTCCCGTCTGGCCGTGGCTTGGAACTACACGGTTTGCTTGGGGTCCAGCAGCAAGTGGGAAGAGAGCGCGTTGGAGGATGCGCTTGGGCGAGGGTTTGGAACGTGCCGGAAGAGTTTGCCAGGCAAGGATTTGGTTGTAGCAGGTGGGTCACATGGTGTATTGGGAGGGTTTTGTTGTTTTTACCCTAAAGATATACTTATTTGCGAAGTTTTTGTTTTGGGGCAGTTTGAGATGTATACACACGTGGCAGCGATAGTACACGGAGGGCCCCGGGCCTGGTGTGCAGTTTCTCCGCTGTTGACGACACTCACAGCCGCAGTTCACGGCACATGTTTGATGTGCCCTGGCCGACTCAGCAGCGTGAGCTGTTTCACGGAACCAGCGACTCTGCCTGATAAAACGGAAAGTCCAAGGAAGGCGCTTTGGTTGCATTTCCAGGTTGGGTGACGAGGGAGTATCTGAGCTGCTGGTTGAACTAGCTGCCTTGTTCATGTAACACTATGAAAGAATAATTGACTAATTATTGACATATCTTACTAAGTGAATGAAGTTAGCCTGTCACTTCAAAAAAGTCAGCTAACAGTGTTTGTTGCCAGCGATGAAATTTGAGCAGTCAAGTGAAGTTGGAATTTTGGAAAGCCCATCTGCCACCGTGAGCCTGAGAGCTGCCCGTAGAGCAGGCGCCACTGCTAATGTTGATGGACCGTGTGCTTTTGACGTTACCGAGGGAACAGCATTTGGGCGGCCGCACACCCGGTGAGCCGATGTTTTCCCGCTGCTCGATGCCGGATCATGCCTGGTGAAAGATCCATGTAAGGTACGGGTCAAGCCAATGGACTTTAAAGCCATCAAGTACAAAAAGCTCACGGATGTGCTTCAGATTCCGCATCGCAAACAGCCTCTAAGGAAGAACAAAGTTGGATTTTGGTGTCCTGTTAAAGAAGAATCTCCACAGTTGCCTGTAGAGGCTGTTCAAATACTTTTCCCTTGTCTGGGTCCATCTCCTTGTGAGGTTTCATTACCGTTCATTTTTTATGCTTTTTGTAGAGGCAGGGTTTCGCCATGTGGTCCAGGCTGGACTCCAGCTCCTAGACTCACACAGTCTGCGCTCCCGGGCCTCCCAGAGTGCTGGGATTACAGGCGTGAGCCACCGGGCCCGTCGAGGCTGTGTTTTTGTCATAGGCGTTGGCAGCAGACCGCAAGTGGAAGCAGATAGGAAACTCGAGTTGCTTTCAGTTAAGCCGGGCACTGGAAAGTCAGACGGAAAACAGCGTCCCTCCTCTCACCAAGGTGTTGCTGTCGTTCTTTGGAAGCTGTAGTTATTTTTCATAAAACATGTTTTGTATGTACAATGATGTGAATGTTTGTCCCCTTTGAAACTCGTGTTGAAAATTAATCCCCAGTGTCACAGTATTAAGAGGTGATTGGATCACGAGGGCTCAGCCCTCAGCAATGTGTTAGTGCATTCACAGATCGATGGCTTCTCCTGGGGGGAGGTTACTGAGAGCGGGTCCCTTAGAAAAGCCAGTTTGGCTGTCTCTCCTATCCCCACTGGCAGGAAGGCCCTCCCCAGACGGGCCCCTGGACCTTGGACTTCCCAGCCTCCTGAACTGTAAGAAATACGTTTCTTTATGTAATGAATTACCAGTCTCAGATCTCAGTTATAGCAACACAAAATGGACTAAGACAGCGTTAATATGTAATATGCTGATTTGTATTATTTTTAAATAAATGAAACTTTTTGTTCTGATTGGAAATGTGGTAAATGTTGGTGGGTGAAATCTACACAAGTGCAAGCCCCTCAGGACCCTCGGTAACCTTCGGATGGTGAAGAGGGCCCTGAGGCCGGAACGTTGGAACTACTGCCTGAGGGCCTACACCCTTCTTGAAATGTCCCTGGGAATGATGGGTGATGATGTGCCAGGTGACGTGATGTATGCTCATTTGCTCGGGGTTGGAATCTGACACTCACTTACATATTTGAATGTTTCCCCCTTTCCCTGCAAATACACATTCGTGGGCTGTGTTAGAGAAAAAGCAGTGTTAGGCTGGGCGCGGTGGCTCCTGCCTGTAATCTTAGGGAGGCCAAGGCAGGTGGATCATGAGGTCAGGAGTTCGAGACCAGCCCGGCCAAGATGGTGAAACCTCGTCTCTACTAAAAATACGAAAATTAGCTGGGCATGGTGGTGCATGCCTGTAATCCCAGCTCCTTGGGAGGCTGAGGCAGGAGAATCCCTTGAACCTGGGAGGTGGAGGTTGTAGTGAGCCCAGATTGCACCTGGACGGCAGAGCTAGACTGTCTCAAAAAGAAAAAGCGGTGTTGCCTGAATGTCCCCGAGCCTAGGTGGAAGCCCTCGGGAGGAGCGTACTTGCTTCTGGTTCCCACTGTGTCTCATGTCTGATCTGCCGTTAATAGTCTTCCTTCCCATTGTTTCCCACTCCTTTCACCTCCACCTCAGACTGACCTGGAGGAAGAAAAGAGAGCTGTGAACCTCCCCCCCCAGTTTAATACAAATTGACTTCTTTGTGTTGGTGGATTCTGCCTTTCTCATTATTTTGTTGTTTCTAGGCTTCCATCCCCAAAGGATTTCACTCAGTGGAGTGATTGATTTCTTGGCAGTGTGCCTGTTTCTGGAGATTCAGCTTTTTACCGTTTACTACCTAGTCTCTTCTTGAAATGGAAGTTCCTGTGCTAATTTTTATGGCGTTGTGGACCTGCGATTTCCAACTCAGGTGGCCTGGGAGTCTCCACATGGAAGCCATCGAGGAGAAGGGCAGTAGCGCCAGCTGGGGATGGGCTGGGAGCTTGGTGGCTGTGGTCCTTCCTTGTCACCTGACTGTCCCAAGCGTCTTTGGACGATCGCATGCATGTGACTTGTGCTTAGGACTGTGTCCTGCTGGTGCTTACAGTTCACTCAGTTCCTGAGTGCAGCGCAGGCCAGGCCCTTTGCTGACTTTGTGCCACCAGGAATGTACTCGATTCATATTTTTGTCATCTGTAGAGTGAGGTGGGCCCTTCAAGATGTGGGAGGAATGGCTATGGCTGTGGAATGCATCCTTTTAGGCCCTCTGCGTGGCCTGATGGCCGGTGGGTACTGTGATTCACGCCATGTCAGATGCCCGCCCCGGGACGTGATGCTTCTGGGCTGTACTGTTCCTCTTCCTGTGGAAATAACCACGTCCAAGTCAGATGCAGCATTACGGCTTTTCCTAAGGGTTGGCAGAAGAAACAGCTCGTTGAAGAATGTCTCCCTAAAAACACTGATGGGAAAATCCATTCTGTCGTAACACCCCTGGTGAAACGCGTGTGCTGCGGCTTCCGTAGCGGCGGCGATCAGACCCGGTGTTGCGGGAAGCCCGAGTGCTGAGCCAGGGAGTCTTGCTACTTTTCCCTTGTGATGAGCACTGATAACCTATAGCGTTTTGTTTTTTAATTTCTGTTACAGCTAAGTTTTATGCCCAGTTAGAGTGGGTTTCCTTTTAATGGCTTTTTTTTCTCTTTTAATGGGTTTGTGCTTTTGTTTTATGGGTGTCCAAAAATTTTTGGAGTAGTAACAGCAAAATGAAAGTGGCTTTGCAGTTGTCTGTTTCACATGATGCCTTTGCTGACAGCTGATGGGCCGTGTCATTCACACTGATTCCACATTCATCAACTCAGTGTTAGATTTGTGACTTAATCAGAGCACAGTCCTTATTGAAATCAGGACGTAGGCACAACACACTTTGGAGATCTTAATCCATGGTTTTCAGATATGATTTCTGACGTTCATCATTGTGCTTCGGGGAGTGACGTCAGTGGTGGGTTCTCACTGGATTCATCACGGGCTTATTCACGGGGCGTGTTGCGGGCCAGGAACTGTGCCCGGCCGTGAGCACCATAGTGCTGATTCCTGCCCTTGTGGAGCTCACCTTCTAGCAGGAGACACTAAGCAAGAGAACGCTTTAAGATGTGTGGTAGCTGAGACAGTAGAGCAGGAAAGAGTGTCGTGTGGCTCAGTGCCGAGGTGTTCAGGAGGTGTGCAGGGGTGGCCAGCCCCGAGGCAGTGCCCTGAGCTGGGTGTGTCCCTGGGGAGCTCAAGGAGGCCCGAATGGAGAGGCGAGTGAGTGGGCAGCTAGGAGAGCCCAAGGGGCTGCGGAGGTCTCATGAGACGGGGAACCCTGGGAGGGCATGGAGCAGATGAAGAGCATGGCCTGGCAAGTGTTTTTATGTGACCCCTTGAGTGCCCTTGATTGGGATTACAGCAGAGGTGCAGGTGACAGACTGCCACATGTGAGCCACGTCTGAGGGGCTGGCCTGGGTCCAGGCTGGGAGTGCTGGGCTGGGGAGATGAGGCCAGGTCGGGGCGAGGGAGGATGGAGGTTTTGGCTGGAGCGGGAGAAGCAGGTTGGTTTGGGGCAGGTGCCAGGGACTCAGTTTGGACATATTAGAATCGAGATGACCCCCTCGGGTGGAGATGTATCTACAGCCACAGGCCGATGAGCCGCCAGGTTAGTGCCGACTGAGCAAAGGTCCTAGGGCCTTGCCCAGGGCATCATCAAGTCAGGAAGTGAATGTGGGACAAGCAGAGAGACAGAGGAGCAGGGGCCAGGCAGGGATGACAGCCTGGGGGGAGCTGGAATCAGCTCGGTCAGGCATTGTGGTGGGGAGAGTGTGGGCAGCGTCTGGGCTGGAGCTGAGTGACAACCCAGTGGGTGGGATCTGGAGGTAACGTGAGCACAGAAAATGATCACAAGTACAGGCGGGGTTTCTGAGGAATTTTACCTGAAAGGGAACAGAGAAATGGGGCTGGGGCTGGAGGGGCAGGTGGGAAGGCGGCGGCAGCATGGGGGAATGGTGTGCGAGGGTGACGCCGAGGGCTGTGGTGGAGTGCTGACTACACGCTCCGCCCCTGGCCTGAGGAGGCAGGACTGGGCATTCTTGGGAAAGGAGAGGGAGGAGAGCAGGATCATCCACTGAGCCTGAGGAGCGTAGGCCCAGGAGCAGGGGAGAGTTC